GATTTGCTGGCTGCAGTGTGTGTCATAGCTACAGGTCATTCCCATCGCTGGCTTTATATTTATATAGATAGATAGATAGATAGATAGATAGATAGATAGATAGATAGATTGATTTTTTTCTTTAACATATTGGACACTGTAACTGCTGTTGTCTTGACAAACCAGTAAAAATGTAAACCCAAACTAAAAGTGTCATAAAATAAACTCTTTAAACAGGAAGTTCATGAGACCTTGGAAAGGTGATATCATGTGGTTGATTCCTCCTTTTTTTCCTTCTCTTTCTTTTTCTTGATGTTTCATCTTTTGTCCTTTCTTTTCTCCCTTTATTCCTTTTCTGTCCTCTTTTTCTCTTAACTTTGCCGTTGGTAGAATCGTCAGTACTTGAATCTGTCTGGCTTTCAGAAGAAGAGGGAAACAGTCATCTGAAGAAAAAGATGTTGATCTATGTTGGGATGTGTGGTGTTTCTGGTTTTGCTCTTTTCCCGCATTTGTTTGTGATTGCCTTCATGCTGGTCCTGCATCTTCAGGTCATGTGCGTGGACACTTCTTTTTTTTTCTTTTAAATACATTTTTATTAATTTCCGAGAGGAAGGCAGAGCTAGAAACATCAATGATGAGAGGGAATCATTGATTGGCTGCCTCCTACACGCCCCCTACTGGGGAGCGAGCTCGCAACTCAGAATCGAACCCGGACCCTTAGTTCAGCAGGCTGACACTCTATACCAGGGGTGGGCAACCTTTTTGTGAGTGTGTGCCAAAACCAGCAAAATCTCTGACTCAAAATTCTTCTGCGTGCCAACCCTAATTTTTTGAGAACATGTTACGCCTGCTTGATACCTCTTAAGGTGTACATATGTGAAGAATCTAAGAAATAATAAAATTCATTCGAGTGACAAAAACACAGTATATGATGATGAAAAATACATTTATTTTTTAATGTATACATATACACTGATAGTCCGACAGAAAACTTTATGACTCCGTTTGATATTATCAGTGGGACTTTTGCTGCTGCATCACTGATGACAGAGATTTTACATCAGGTTTATATTTCGTGACCTTCAGAGATATGCACGAGCTACTACTTTCATCCGTCAGGCTACTCCTATTACGAGACTTAACAAAATTCATCACTGAGAACAAAGATTCACAATTGTAAATGGAAGATTATAAGAGAGGGTTTCGCGTGCCAGCAAAAGTTACTGGCATGCCATGTTTGGCCCTCGTGCCAGGGGTTGCCCACCCCTGCTCTATACACTGAGCTAAACTGGCTAGGGCACTTCTCATGTCTACAAAACCTGCCTGCCTTGGTGAAAACTGTAGGGGAAAAGGCCTTTCTGGGTGGGCTCCAGCCGGCGAGGATGCTGAGGAACCAGGGCGGGGAGCGCCTGCCACTGCCTCTGCGGAGCCCGACCTCCGGACCACGGGGAACTCTCTAGTATCAGGGGTGGGCAAACTTTTTGACTAGAGGGCCACAATGGGTTCTTAAACTGGACCGGAGGGCCGGAACAAAAGCATGGATGGAGTGTTTGTGTGAACTAATATAAATTCAAAGTAAACATCATTACATAAAAGGGTACGGTCTTTTTTTTTTAGTTTTATTCATTTCAAACAGGCCTGCCTGCCTTGGTGAAAACTGTAGGGGAAGGCCTTCCCAGGTGGGCTCAAGCGGCCCGAGGTGCTGAGGAACCAGGAGGGGAGCGCCCGCCACCGCCACTGCGGAGCCCGGACCTCCTGACCGCGGGGTGCTCTCCAGTAATGTAACTGCAATGTCCCAGTTTGCCTTCAGAAATTAGTTGTAAGTTACTTCCCATGTGAAACCCGACCTCAGACATTTCCTTTGTGGTTTCTGAAGTTTTTAAACAAAACCCATTGACCTCCCTAACCCGGTCACAAGTTGCTGCCCAATGGGAGAGGTTTGCTGGGTAGCATCGCCCAGATACCCACCTTGGTCCCCCCCCCATCACTCGGCTGGGGGCGAGGGAAGTCCTGAGGCTGACTCCCCGAGGCTGCTGCTGGGGCAGGATCACTCACTGGGAAGAGCAAGGTTCCAAGGCTGAGAACTGAGGCTGCTGCTGGGAGGGGATCACTCTGTGGGGGCGAAGATGCTTCCAGAGGCTGAGACCCTGAGGCTGCAGGTGTGTGGGGGGATCACTCCATGGGGACGCAGGTGCAAGGTTGGAGGCTGAGACCCTGAGGCTGTGGTGGGAGTGGCTTTCCCAGTCTTGCTGGGGTAAGTCCCTGTGAAGAAGGGGCAGAAAGATTTTGGGCAAATAAGCCCTCAGAGGCAGTTCTGCGGACTGCGCATTAGGACCATGTTGTCATCTTTATAGAAAGAAACTTGGCTGCAGCTTCCAGGGCAGAACCAGGATGGGCTGGTTCATGTTGCGGGCATGGCTGTAGTGGAGGAGGCGGCTTCCTGTGGCTGCTTCCGGTTCTGTGGTGCTGGGTGCGCCCGCAGGTAACATGGGGTGAGTTAGGGTGGGGTGGGGGGGTGTCGCTAGGCAGACTCTCCCTGGTCAGCTCCTTCGGGGGTCCCTCCTGAGGTCCTCAGGCACCTGTACCTTAACAGACCCCAACACTAAGCTTTCCTTTGTGGAATTGTAGGAATCAATTAAACGGATTTGAAAATTTCTAAGAAATTGCAAGAGACCAGAATAGTCAAAACAATATTGAAAAGGAAGAACAAAGTTGGAGGATCTTATGCGGATTAAGGAGGGGCCATGAACTAAGGGCCTCTGTACCTGAGACCCCCCCTCGCCCCCCCAAAGGAATTTGTTTTTGTGTTTTGTTTTTTATAAAGGGTCAGGTAGAGTGCCTGCTACATAGTAAGCTCTTTTAAAAAAGATATATTTTTTTTTATTGATTTCAGAGAGGAAGGGAGCGTGAGAGAGAAATATTAATGACCAGAGGCTCATTGATCGGCTGCCTGCTGCATGACCCCTACTGGGGCCGGCTAGGGCAAGGAATTTGTTTTTAATTACACGGTAAAGTGTCTGAGAGTACAAGGCCTAAGTTTTTTTTCAAGGTTCTCCCATAACTGAATTTTCTTCTTTCCACAGATTTGATAGTGGAGATGGAAGGGAAGAATCAGACTGTGCTGCTGAATGACAATGTCACCATCCCCTGCAAGGTCCCTGGTTCCACACCCCTGAACATCAAGGGTATGGGTGTTATCTGGTATCGGAAGCATCAGGCAGATGAAACAGAGCACAAGGTGTTTGAAATGTATGGAAACCATCAAAAGGCATTCAGACCCGGAGCCAGCGTGTCTCCAGCGGGGCTAGAGAAGGGGGACGCCTCACTGCACCTTTCTGGAGTCCAGCTGAGGGACGCAGGAGAGTACCGATGTGAGGTGGTGGTCACCCCCGAGAAGGCCCAGGGAACAGTCGTTCTAAAGGTTTTGGGTGAGTGTCCTGTGGTTCCCATGGTGTTGGAGCTGGGGGTAGATATGTGGCCCGGCCAAGTAGAGCAGAAGTTTGGGCATGGGCCTTGGAGTTGGATAGACACAGGTTTAAGTTCTGGGCTTCCCTGGACGTCTGGACAACTTAGAGCAAGTTATTAATCATGATGAACCTCAGGATCCTTTTTTCTAAATAGATGTAATAGTACCTCTATAAAGACCCTGTCTCCAGCCCTAGCCGGTTTGGCTCAGTGGATAGAGCATGGGCTTGCGGACCAAAGCGTCCCCAGTTTAAAAAAAGACCCTATCTCCAAATACAGTCACAGGAGAATGGGCTTAGGGCTTCAACATATGAATTTGGGGGTGGGGCCACAATGCAGCCTATAAGGGGGGGCGGCAATGTCTATGAACTCTTCAAAATTGTACTTAAGACTTTGAATGTTTTGTACATATTGATTAGGGCAGTGGTCGGCAAACTGTGGCTCGCGAGCCACATGCAGCTCTTTGACCCCTTCAGTGTGGCTCTTCCACAAAATACCCCATGCGGGTGCGCACATACAGTGCGAAGTTGACTTAAAACTTTAAGTAAAGTTTATTAAGTTAATTTTAGGGAACGTTGTGGAGTGAAAGAAGATGTAGCGTCGAGGATTGAGAAAGGTATGTTGAGATGGTTTGGACATATAGAGAGGATGAAC